GAACCTCAGGAAGTTGTCCATAAAATAATAAAAAAGTTTTCTATCCTATCTCTCAGACATCATTAATATGCAGTTAGGATGTCACATCTGTTTCTACATCATAGCAATTATTTACTGAAATAACCATCCAACAAAGTATTTAATTTATTATTATTTGTGGAGAAACTGAGAGAAAGAAGATATACTTTTATGTAAATGCATCATGTTTGACTTAAATTCTTCTTCTTTTGAAAATTGCCTGACACGAAAAGTTTCCTATTTGTTGTGGGATTTCTTCTAAATCGATTGAAGTTTATGTTTGTCATTCATGTTCATTTTCTCTTACAGATAATAAATAAAATGAATATAACTTAAGCTATATGATTTAAACGTTCGTTCTATTGAAATTTTCTTTTTTTTTTCTTCCTGTATTTCTTAATGACTTATATGATCTATTTAGAGAAACATGGGAAACTCCCTTTTCATAGGATATAACTTCCAACGTAAATAAAATGGTTTTTCATATCGATCTGAACAGAGAAACGATGGTATTAATATAACAAACTTTTTGATTCAATACGTACTGTACATTTCCCTGTCCATTTAAATTCATACTGGGGCATGTGGTTTCCATAAAATCGCCATTACAACAATAAACTAATCAACAACTGTCACAAATCTCTAAATAGGATTTCATTAATTTGACCAAAGATCTCAGTAAAATTAACCTCTCAGTCAATATTAATAGAACCAATGTTATACGGTCTAATAAAACCTCCGACTACGATAATTCTTATATTTTTATATAACTTGGTAACTATTGTTTTACAATTTTTTTTTTTTTTTACTTTTATTGAAATAATATCTTTTCGTTTATTTTCTTGTTTTTCTGTTCTTATTTGACAGGATATAAGCCATACAGAACAAGCTATTGTATATGTAAATATCTGAAGCGTAGTGACGCGTAACGAAGCTGAGTACAACGTTGTGTTTTGCAGTTATTATTAACGTAACAAATAATAATATTAAAATCAGATATAATTCTTTTATAATACATTTCTGATTACCATTAAACTATTAAATCCATAAAATATCAGCAGTTTCTTATATACTTCAATTAATATTAATAAATTCTGTTGTATTTCTATTCGAAAAACATAAGTTTACGCTTCTAAAAACTATTAAAAATTAGTGAATAACATGTTTAAATATTCAAAAATACCAGAAATAAGCAAATAAAGAATAAATTAAAACGTTCAGTAAGTACTGTAAACGTAACTCCATCCGTAAGATTAGATTAATTATATTTTCTATAAACTTTTAACTCTATTAAATTAAAAGTAGGTACTGTACTTACGAATATTGAGTAATTTCTACACGATTATGTTCGTTCATTAATCAATTAAACTAATTAACAATTAAAGTTAGGTCCTTTGAATTTATTTCTTCTATTATAGCTATATCATTATTCACAATGTAGTAAACATTCAGTCTGAGCGTTACGCCTGGTTGTCCTTGAAAGTAACGTCTACACACTGTCTACATCTATAGCTGCCATCTACAGTTGTTAATAGATACTATTTCAGGAGTAAATTAATAGAAGTATTGATACAAAGTAATAATAATCGATATTTTTTATGATTCCTCGTTGAAAGAAGCGTGTATATTTAAGTAATTAGTTTGCTTTCACCTGTTCAAAAAAAATTTGGTATTTTTTTTTGTATGAAAGGGAATTAGAAAACACTTATAAAACTCTGAAACTATAAATTTGTTACAATTTTATTTTCATTTTAATATAAAAATTGTTCATATAACTTTACTGTTGATGGTAAAGCACAAAACAATTTATTTTTTCATTACAACAAAGAAATATTCTGAATAGAAAACATTTGGAATGTGGACTGGATTAATCTCCATTTTTGAGCAAAATTCACATTATTCTCTATGTTTTTCTATATTCTGGCCAATTCACAACCCAAATTAGTTAAAGGAACATTTTTAGTGACTGCGAAATACATTTTTCTTTCGCTTATTACTATTGGAAATATTCAGAAATGTATTGTCATTTAGACACAAATTTGAAAGTATTTTATCAAATCTGTTCCTTGACATTGTTTCAATAACACGAGAAAGATTCTTTTTTCTTCAATTTCCAATAAATAACATTGCAACTGTCACTTGCTATTTTATCATCAGTATTTTCTTATTTCTTGGACGGATTAAGCTACCAATGACACTTTTTAAATTTTTAAATTAAATATATAAAATTTCATATATTTACCCAACAATAATATATATATATAATAATTGTTTGTATAATAATTAGGTATATAATGGCTAATTTCAAAAGTTATATAGTTATCCTTCCTTACAAATAGTTGGTGGTAAGTTGACAATAGTAGATCTCTGAGATACAGGATAAGATTCTGTAGGATATGGTTCTGACGATGGGGGTTGTTGAGTTGGAGGAGGATAAGAACTAGGTGGAAAGTCTTCTTGAGGATAGGAATCTGTCGTTGCAGATTGTGATGGATACGAACCGAGTGGAAACGACGATAGTTGTGGCTCTTGTGGATAAGATCCAGGCTGTGGAGGAGGATGGGTACCACTTTGCTGAATGTAGTCTTGATTCAATGGAGTTGCTGCTGGATTATTTTGTTTCTCATTGTGTTTCTTTACATAATATTTTGCATAAAGGCATAAACCTGCGGCAGAAATAAGGAATATTCCACCAATAGTAAGAAGGACTATACCAATTATAAAATTTACATTAGTTACAATATGATGAGCAATGTGATGTTCTTCATGTTTCTCTTCTGTTGCGTTTTTAAAAAATTCGTTTTCAACTGTTGGATCCTCTTCCTGCTTTGGTGGAGTATAGGAACGTTTACTTTCAGCCATTGCTATTGTTCCACCTATCAGTAAAAGAATTCCAAAACCGATGAAACAAAAGATACAACCGAAGTATAACAGCCTATGAGGAACAGCATAGTAAGGTGTCATATATCCTCTATGCCACGTATTTCTATACGAGTTTCGTTGATATCGCTGCATATTTTCCTGAAGAGAAAAAAAGTATAATTTATTTATTTATTACAATATTAAATTTAACTAAATGTTACCTATTAAATATACTAGACGATTGCTAATCCGACCATTCCTTGCACAGAAGGGTGCTAGATTAACGATATTGCCGGATTACTGACAGTTTATAAGGGGCTAAAGTTTGCCTAAAAGATAAATGACGTGACATGTTGCTCTTCGTAACTTGTGTAAAATCAACACCATGAAACGTCAGTAGCTGTAACTTACGTCATATGTAAATCAGCAAAGTGCCATATTATCACGCAAGTGTCATGCAAATGAGGCACGACAGCAACACATCCGTACTTCAAAATGTAATTGCACTATCTACATATAGCGAATTCGTTTCTGATAAACAATCGTCTGCTAACAGTGAGGAAGTGTTCCTGATGTATCAGGAACACTTCCTCACTGTTAAACATATCATACATGCCCCAAAGATGGCATTCAGATGATTCATTGTGATGGAGGGCAGTTCATTCCTGCATTTTTGTCATATACTGTACAATATATTTGTTTGCATTGCTTTAATTTTGGACAAGACTCTTCATGTTTTGGAGAATAGGTGGATGCATATGAATAGAATAAACTATTTATTTTATTTTGCAAAGAAAAATTGAGAAAATTCCATCTATACTGTAACTATTTAAAGACGAGAAATTAATTATTTGAATTATTTCATTATATGAATATCTACAGTCATATCAGTAAATGGTCTTTTTTTTTCTTATGATGAGAGGAAGAGGTCTGTAAGTAGCATAAGATGAAACATTGTAAAAACTAATTATAAATTCGATAAACTTCTATTAGAGTTTTTACTACTTTTACAAGTAAATCTAGGAAGAAATTGCAAAAAACTCTAGGATCATATGCATATTGTTGCATAAGATCCATGCACAACAGTTCTTTCATTGTTCAGCTTATTACTACTAGATAATATTTAACAAAGTAAAGTTTCCACATAATATAATTTATATAATTACAATTCAAATTAAAGTCCTCGCGTAATTATAATTTGGCGGAAAACGGACATTAAGATTCCCTCCAACTTTGAGTAAACACAAGATCTGCATAGGTGAGGAGAATGTAAGTTATTTTAATTAATACTTTTTTATATTTAAATAACTTAACTACTAAAACATTATCTAGATATTCATATTTTCTTATTATTAACATGAAATAAAAACATAGTACTACCACCACCTCGGGGGTTTTTTATAAATGTTTTTGGTTCAGGTCTGAAAACGTCGAGATTTGCAAAATACCCGATGGGTCAAATTTGACACTATTACAATACTTTTCCGTGTAATGTTATAACAGCCGGAAAAGCAAAACGAAGATCAATTAACAATTTCCAGGGAGGTAAGAAAATTCCGAATCTATCGTCATGGGAATCGATCCTTCAAAATGTTTGTACTCTTCCGTAAACAGATGGAAGAAAACCACTCTTCTCTGGGAGGAGAAGATCCTGTGGCAAATAATATGAAGTTATCTTCATGAGAGTCTCGATTATATTTATTCTTCATTCCAAAATCATGATTGAAACAGTTTTCGAAACATGACAAGAGCTTCCCAGAGTGTACAGGGACAGATACATAACGGGAGCCCTATAGTTAATTGTGTTAAATGGAAGTAAACGAAGGGGGAAAAAAACATTGTATAGGGGCTCCTACTTTCTCGAGGCTCAGGCATTCTGCGGATGTTAGAAAGGATGCATTAATGTTTTCATCTTTAAAACGTGAACGTCGACGTTCGACGTTCACGTTTTAAAGATGAAAACATTAATGCAATATAATAATTGTTTGTATAATAATTAGGTATATAATGGCTAATTTCAAAAGTTATATAGTTATCCTTCCTTACAAATAGTTGGTGGTAAGTTGACAATAGTAGATCTCTGAGATACAGGATAAGATTCTGTAGGATATGGTTCTGACGATGGGGGTTGTTGAGTNTATTTTCTGTGGCACTTTATACAAACAGATTATACAAATTTTATTTATAGATAAAAATCAATTGTCTAATTTTATACAATTAGCGTGTTTTATTATTATTATTATTTAAATTCTTGATGCGCTTTCAATTTAACATATGCATAAGTTTGCATTAACAATATACATTTCATGAAGTAGCAAAAATGCTTGAAAATGTTTGTAAATAATATTTACTTTTATGTAAAAAATATATATATTAAAAAGTATATCTTCATATCATTTAACAAGAAGGAAGGCTTTGCTTATAAAACTGAAAAATATGTAAAATATTTCTTTCATTGATTATTATAAAATTAACATTTGAGCTTCAAATTCCTCAAAATTTAGATGTAATTTAATACTGAAAAATCTATCATCTTTTAAATTGTATTTTCGATTTTATCACAAAATATAGCATCAAATTTGTGAAAAGAACGTAATTTTAAGTACAAAATTATCATATTTCGAGGGCAGTTTTTTAAGTTCAGATATAAATAACACTTTTTTTTTTAATTTTCAATAAAAATATATATTTTATATTGTTAGCAATACATTTCACATCAACAGCAATATTTCAAATAGCTAGTATATATGTGAAAATTCTGTAAAGAATAAATTCAAAAGGCACGGTTTTATCCTTCTTTAAAACCAATTGGAGGTGCATTAGCCTGAAGAGATCCTTGCGATTCAGGATAAGGTGCTAAAGCAGTCTTTTCACTTACGTATGGTTCAGATGGCGGAGGCTGTTGAGTTGGAGGAGGATACGGATAACTAGGAGGAGCGGTTTGTTGAGGATAGGTGCCTGTTATTACAGGTTGCGGTGGATACGAGCCAGGAACTGGAGTATATTGCGAGGGATACGAACCTGCTGGAGGTGGTGGCTGTTGCGGGTACGAACCGGGTGGTGGTTGTAGCTGTTGTGGATAAGATCCAGGCGGTGGAGGAGGATAAGTACTACCCTGCTGCATATGACCTTCATTCAACGGAGCCGCGGATGGATTATTTTGAATCTTGCTGCGTTTATCCACGTGATACTTTGCAAAACAGCATAAGCCGATAGAGAAAAGAATGCATATTACACCGATACAAATAAAAACTGTACCAACTATACGAACTACATTAGTTATATCAGAACCACCAAAACCAGCTTTTCTACGTTCTTCTCTTGCCTTTTTGAAAAAGGGATCTTGAAATCTGGGATCTTCATCGTGTTGTTTAGACATCGAATCAGCATGGTTACTCACGACTGTTGCTATCGTTCCAGCAAAAATAGTTATTATTCCAAAAGCAATCAAATAGACTGCACAACCGAATGATGCCAGTTTATGAGGGGCAATATAAGAACGTGGCATATATCCTCTATACCAAGGACTGCCATACATATTTTCTCGTCGCATCATGTTTGCCTAAAGAAAAAAAAAAGGATATTTATTAATTGTTCATTATAATATTTAATCATATAGACTACTGTTAATATAATAAGTAATAGACTTCATTTCACACAAGAAATACTTCAAGAGTTCACCATTAACCTGTGTAATCTGCTCCATACGAATATATACCATGTATATTAATATCAAAACATAACACAAAATAAATACTTCTATTAACATCATTGTTTAAAGAAATACTAATTGTGTGCCTATATGTTGTTTAAAAGTACGTAGTTTATATTTATTCAATATTTGTTTTGTTTTAATGCCTCCTTTATTTCCTCTTCCCTTTATTTCCTCTTCCCACTGACTTTCGCAACACAGCAACCTCCGTAAACCCAAATTTCGCAAAAGACTTCGCTCTCAGGAAGACTTTCTAACGGAAAATGGCTCTTGTTTAGATGTTCCTAACGTTAAGAAAACACTTGACCAGCCAATTGACTAGGCACGAACCCACGACAAGAGGTTTTATCTACTCGGTCACTGGCGGCCGATATTGAAATATTAATAACTAATAATATGCCATATATTATGTTGCAAATGTGGAATTGTTTTTTTAATGGCTTTCACACGAAGTCAAATGATAAAATATCAGTTGTTTAACACCTGATCTTTTCATTTATTTGAAAATGTAACTCAGTTATGAAGTTAATTAAACATTTATCTTCTTTATTTACCTTCTCACAATATAATAAATAAATTTAGCAGAATAATTTGCATTCTTTCTTCCGTTTGCTATTTTCTTTTTCTTGTTCTTTATTATTTATCTGTTAAACGTTCCCATTGAAGATCCATGCAAAAGAATGCAATTTTGCATGCTAATGCAAAAGAATGCAATTTTGTAATCTTCATGTAGCTTCATGTAATCTTTGGAATTCAATGTTTAAAAAGTCATTTCTGAAAGTAATCAGAAAATAAATTTTTATTTGACAGTGATCAAAAAGTATTTAGTTTAACGTTATAATAGGCATACGGTACATATACAGTAAATTTCCTACCTTCTCACTGTCTTCATTGAAAATTTTCTTAATTCGAAATGATTTCTGTACAGTTTTGCTAATTATGTGCAACTCCAAACAATAATTTGCTTCAAGAAGTCGTGGCGTGGTTCTGATCACTAAATTTTAATGGTATTAATAAAGTAAGAATTCGATTTAGGGATCAGCCTACTGCTTTGAGGGATCCAGGAGTGATTCCAGGTGGAGAACCTCAGGAATTTTAATGGGTAATCCTGTCCTGGATATTTCGGACCTCTCCTCATCTTCCAACTCCTTCATTGTGGACCTGACCGAACCCACGATGGGTATGGAAGAAAAAAACAAGCCCCATTTAGTGCGTACAGGGCGGAGAGAGCCAAAAATAAAACAAAAACAAAGAATTTATTGATTACTAGCTGCAAGGACCCGCTTCGCTGGGTTTTTATTTGTGGGCAAAAAGTAACGATAGTGAAGATTAAGATAATTACATTATAGCCAATCTTACCCGTTTTCTATTTCTATGGTCCCGATTCTATTTCTGAACGTCTCCTGTTCACGTCCAGTCAAACGAACTATTTTCAATTTGATCAATTTTCTGGAACGTTTACAATCGTTCTATAATCGAACCAATATGCAATAACAAATTCGAATTTAAAACGGTTCGAACATTTTTAAAATCGAAACAGAAAATCTTCCACTTTCAACCACTTTCAAGCCCATATCTCCCGCACCCTTATAGCTATCGAGACACAACCACCATAGTGCACGAATGGAGACTTGGGGCTACTACCACATACATACACCATTCATGTGCGATGTGTAGTTTTGGCTGAAAAGTGAAATATAGGGACACACACGTCCATATATATATATATATAGATAGATATATAGATCTATCAGAAATTCGTCAATTAATATCAAACGTACAGTACATCGGATGTCATAACAGTTAGAAATGGTAAAAACAGTCACTCATATAAAAACAAGTACAGTAGACCCCCCTATAACACTGTAGATAATTCCGTGTTATATGAATTCTATATTTTACGAGCCACTTAGATTTTACAAATACGTGAGCCGGCACACGTATTTGTAAAATCTAAGTGACTCGTACAACATGGAATTCACATAACACGGAATTATCTACAGTGTTATAGGGGTCTACTGTATTATCAAACGTCTTTTGTATAATAATATTCTTCTCCGCTGGCAGAACTCTTGGGACAACAACCACAGTAACCTAACCTACCAATTCATACCTAATATCGACGAGCACCACTGCCATACCTAGATTAATATCAATTCTCTCCTGACTCAGTTTATTACTGGCCACGGAAGATTTTCCAGTTATCGCCATCGCTTCACAGGTAAACGTACTCCCCTTTGTGCCATCTGTAGGGAGGTGGACGGTTCCAACCACTATCTTTACAAATGCGTGTGCCTTGAAAGGGAACGTCTCGAAATTGAACTAATTGCACAGAAATTAAACATCTCCTGGCCGTGTCAGCAACATGATCTCCTTAAACACAAGGATCTTTATTCAGCCTTTCGTAACCTAGTGCTTGCTTATGAGCAAGTGGCACCCATCACCACGCATGAGTAGTTCCTCACCAGGCTTCGTTCTTTTCATTACCTTCGCCACTGCTACGGACATCTGTAAATACTGTACAATGCCACCTAAATGCTACTGTTTTCAAAGTTGTAATGTAATGGCTCGTATTACTTATCTTATGTATTGTATTCTATACTCAAATTGTATTTTACACTCTATTATAATGTATCATTACTTTACTTGCTGTATTGTACTCAATTTTATGTATTTTATGTGCTTTTTCCTTCTACACTTATGTTTTATTTTGCATTAACACTTGTAATATTGCATAGTATCTGTACTTGTATAGCCTTCAAAATTCATCACTTTGTAATTCTGTATGTACTTTATACTGTAAACAAATTGTAATTAACTACATCATCGTTTTATTTAACTACAACATCATTGTTATACCTGCATCATCATTGTATTTACTCCTGTATACTATTCCAACCTACTTCTTGATAGCTCTGTAATTCCTGTATTGTAAACATGTTAACAACTACTGTATCTGGTTTTCATTCCCGGTAGTGCCATGCAGAGCCGGGCATGTACAAACTGTTGTATATAATAAAGATATTGATTGATTGATTGATTGTATTATTCAGTATAATGTCCGTACACACGAAGACGATACCCGGAAACATAATTCACGTGATCAACGGATTCTTCTTATAATTTCAGTAATTATCGCTTAAACCTTTATGTTCAACCAGTGGCCGTTGTTCAGAGAGGTTCGACTGTATAAGTTACTTCAAAAAAAAATAATTGAATGAGTTACTTGTTTTAATTTTAATCAATCAATATTGAAATTAAATTGATAAACGTTTCAATAAAAACACAAAATTAAAATGCTTTTTTAGATCGAAACTTTAATCAAGAAAAAAAGTATGTACAGTGTCGAAACAGCTGTTTTAACACCGAATTTCCGCGAGAAAAATTTAATTCAAAGATTCACTACTACTTGCAGTGTTTAATAGTTTAATCCACTCGGACACAAAAATATGAAGAATAAAAAAAGAAAGGAAGAGAAAGACAGTGTTCAATTAGTAATGCCTCTATACTTATATACAACCGCAGTGGCAAGACTTCAAAATGAAACTCAAAAGAAAAACAATGTTCAGATATTTCTAATTTAATTAACACACTTCATTTCTCTTCATGTTTGGCAATGTTTAACAAGTTTTTGAGACTAGATTCTAGAAATCTTCAAGTTGTTCTCGGAACCATTTCCTCGTGATAGTTTGTGACAGGTGAAATGGATTCCCTTGAGATCTCTCTTGAAAAAAAAATCAAAGTTCTTGAGTGTTCGAAACTTTAAACTGGAGTTTTCTATGGTTTCTAATGTGAAAGTATGTGTGGTAGTCTAGCAGAATAATTGACTTTGTCCACAGTTTCAACAAAATATACCACCACTTCCATTTCTTTTTGAGAAACATTTTCTTGAGTTAAAAACTATTTTATCATTGTTTGACATAATTGAAAAATTATCATCTATTTCAAACACAATTAGACTCAAACTATAACACATCTGTAGTTCTACCAAGCATTAAAATGTAGCTAATTAAACAATCTTTTTTTCTTTTTTACTGCTTGCTAAACAATTCCTGTGCGAAACACGTGCACGGAGGCATTATTTATTAAACTGCCTTAGTTTATTTCATTGAATTGTTAGACGTATACCATAAATTTATATTTTATTTTCTCGGGTGTTATAGAACATAGTGAAAGTATAATGATCAGTAAAATTTTGTCCTTCCCGGATTTCTATATTTCTCGACGTTTTGACGATTCCAAGAAACCAAAAAATCCTTACAAAATTGTCTGGGGAGGCCATTTTGTATTATACCTCAGGATTGGATAGATTAAACATTTTGAAACTTAACAAAGTTATTTCTATAAATGAGCCGTTGATGCTATTAAATTTTGGTAAATTTAAGGAGTAAGAAAAGTAAAGAAAGCTTACTCCTTCCAAAAATAATCCTTTTGTTTTTTATAATAACAATTATTATTATTATTAATTGAAAACTTCAGCCGCAACCTCGCTATTTATTTCTTGGATATGTCACCAATCCATATCCTTTTCTATTGTATAATTATAGAAGATTGTAGTGTTTTTGAAGCAAAATTAAACACAATAAAATTATCAACAAAAAGTAAAAAATCGTTAGTTTAATCACGTAATATACTGTTTTATTATTTATATAATATTCCATCATTCGATTCCCAACAGGGAGGAAGAACACATCCCGACTCTCCTAATAACAAAACGATTGATATGTTAAGCAGTCAGCCAGAAATTATTAATTACGTACTGTATTGCATGCTAATATTATTTATTCTTTTATAATTCAGTTAATTAATTAATACACAGGAAAATATGAAAATCACCATCATTTATATTGTTATATTATTCATGATTTACTGTTTTAGATCAATTCAATGATCAAAAGAAATAAACTAATGAATCACTTAAGTGATTCTACTGTATATATCACCATCTGTTACTTTCTGTATTACGTCATAAATACGTAATTAAATCATCACTACGTATCTAAAGCGTAATTTAGTAGAGAGGTTGAGGCAGACGTTTTAAACGTGTAGGTCGGACGTTCGGCGCCGCTTTCCCGTAAGCTTAAAAGTTTGACAATGGTGTTTGGATAGTCGGTGGAATTACGCTCGACATTCCAAACACCATCGTCAAACTTCTAGGCTTACGGGAAAGCGGCACAGAACGTCCGTCCTACACGTTTACACGTTTAAAACGTCTGCCTCAACCTCTCTAGTGTTTACGAATTCAATGGCACCGGAGATAACAACATATATAAATGTAACCCGACCGCGTTGCTGTATTCGAAAATGGGGGGATGGGAATGTCTGACGTCACTCGTGTAGTGTTTGGTATCTTCGTTTACCTCTCAGTCGCACTTATAAATGATAATACATTCATTGTAAAATTTACAATTCTACCTGTTAAATTAAAGTTTATACTTACGTTTACTCTGTTTTACTTCAGTTTAATTTAACACTCTTTTGTTTACTTCTGTCAATTACCTCTTTTAGCACTTTATAAATGAAATTTAAAGTTGCAAAACGTATGTCCCCCTGACGATGTTACTAGGACATATTTGCGTCAGGGCGACGCCCATTCGTCCTTGACAATTATGTTAGCCAATTATGTCTGTTTTTAGAAACCGTCTCATCCTTTACGTATTAATAGAAATATAAAAGAATAATACACGTTATTGATAATATGTTAATAGAAATAAATTAATTAATGAAATTAAATATAGAAATTAAATTTATTTATTTATTTAATAATTTAAACACCAGATGGAGTTATGTTAAAGCTAAACATTTTACCCCCTTCAGCTTCCATTGAAGTAACCTTGAAATTTCAAGGTTACTCCAATGGGAAAAAAATTTTTTTAATTGTTATTATTTATTAATTCTCATTTCTTTATTCAAAATTAGTTAAAATAGTAATAAATAAATTTTATTACAATTAATAGGATGAAATGAATCAGAACAATACAACTCTAAAAGTGCACAAGATCTTGTGGGGGCTTCTCTCAATTTATTCTTTCATTCGGACCAAAGTATCTTTACATGATTGGCATTTATCATTGTATTTTTTATAACTTCTGGTAAAATTACCTTTATGGGGTTCCTATATTTGATGCCTCTGCTTATGTCCAAATAATAAAAGGTTCGCAGAGGAGGACTGGGTGAACGTTATGCTTTTCTCATGAAATGTAGAGAATGGTAATGATGATAGTACATTCACAGTTGTAGATGAGGATGTATTGTACCCAAAGGGAGTATAATTCAAAAATTTTAAAAATATTTGAATAATTAATAAATACCTTTTATTAACACGTACACGACGATTGTATTGAGGATGATCCAATAAATTGTATTTGTCATCACAAGTATTTTTAGAAACAACATTTTGAAGTTCGAACAAATAAATGTTTAATTTAATAATTATCTCAATAGCCAGAGATACTGTTGGGCTGTTTGTTATTCATAAACAGAGATCAATAACAAACAGACCACCAGTTTCTCATAAAAAACACTCCTCTATTGGCATCAGATCGTCCCCAAATGTTATATTAACTTATCTCATCAATACACTCTAATCCAAATCAATTAGCCTATAAACGAAAGGCCCACACGTCTCTTCTTCTCTTCTAAAACAATAAAAAATATAGAAAAAAAACATTAATTATCAAGAATAACTTTAATAATAATTTTTATATATTTTTAAACCACATTGTTACATGAATTTCAGACTTCTGTGTTTGTGACTGGAGTCAAATGTCTCTGGTGATCACAGAATAGGATTTTATTGTGGCTCAAAATTATAATAGACTTATATAAGAAATCCTTTACCTTCTACCAAACAGTAATAAATTTAATACGATAATATTTTTTTTTTATAATAAAACACGAAGAAATTAGAATAAAATTGATTTAATATTGTGTAATAAATTTATCTTTAGGAATATTTTAAGAAATATAGTATAAAAATTTTTGTAATATTCTCTGGTTTTTAAAACCAGATCCGGTGAAAGAAATGACGTGTTTCGTTATGTATTAAACAATACATTAATTGGAAAACTATTATCACAAGTTCCTGCTTCGATGATTCTTAACAAAATATTTAATACTATAAAATATAAATTTTTTCATAAATTTAGAAAGATATTATACATTTCAAGGTATAAATATAACAGTTTATTTTATATTTGATGATATTTTAATATAAGAATATATCATATGATACGTAAAACAATGTGTAATTTATTTATATTACACAACTATTATTTATTAATTATGTTATGAAAAATACTTTGCATTTTATGTGTTTTTAAACACTTATTTTTTCACCAGTTCCTAAATAATGATCGAGTAAGGCCTTAGATAAACGTAAACTTTAGAAATTCTAGAGAAATATAGATTTGAAAGACAGTAGACAAATGTAAAGAAGCTTATATAAGTGTGTACTTGACAGGCCTTTTTATATTAATTTATTAAATTCTATAAAATTTATAATACTTTTATACAAATAACTTACTGTACGTTTATAATTTTAATAAATAACACCAGATGGCAGAGAAAGAGGATGTACAAGATTCTTAGAATCGAGATCCCTCCCACATATGTACTGTACAAGTTTATAAATAACACATATATTTTTTTACGAATAAACATATACATAATTATTGCATACAGCATCAGATAACGGAGCAATGTAGAACATTAGATCATAGAAAGTGTATACATATATGACGTCATACTATTGGAACGAACATCGGAGACATCGCCCAAGTGAAGTGGCCTGTATGACGCCACGTGACGTCACCGAATTGCGAAGCACGAGATACGAGTAAAGAATAAATTTACAGAAATCACACCCTAAAATTAAAGATTCGTGCAATTCGTATGATGCAGGTAAGTAAATTTTGTTATAATTATTTTAAATTTTAAGTAATTAAATTCAAACTTCCGTGTCTAAAGAGCATCCTTCCGATAGAGCTGATAATACACAAGTGAATTTAATTGTATGTATTTTTTTTTTTTTTTTTTTGGTATTGTTTAAGTGGTAAACACTAACAAAATTGTCAGAAAAATTTTAATTTTGTGTCATTTTAATAATTGTTCTTGTTAAGTATTAACTTATCGATAATTTGATAACTTTTAATACAAATTTATATCGAATAAAAGGGGGAAAATAAACCTGTTTAAAACTGTTTGTAATTCCAGTTTCGGTATAGTAATTTATTCGTCAAGGTTGTTTCAGTCAGAGTAAAGACCTTGAAAAAAGATAATGCTAAAGACAAAAATCTTTCAGTCTATTTTTCAACAAATTTTATTATTATTTTTATTTTTTTAATTACATATTTTAATCATAAATAAATAAATTCGAGAGGCAATAATTAACGTAATTTGATAAGTTAATTAAGCGGATTAAAAAATTTTTATAAGCTTTAAAAAATTAATATAAAATTGTAAAATTTTAATTAATTATTCTCACTTTTCTATACATAATTACGCTTAACTTTCAGCATTTTTCTGTATGATCAAAATAAAGTAAATAGTAATTATTAATATCATGTCTGATATATAGTATTTATAGATATACAATGCCCTTTTAATTATTTTGTTATAACTTTATAGATATGATATACAGTTATGATGACATACAGTGATCAGATAACACGGATGCTGTATAGGCTATAATATTTTTTATATCTGATCATTGTATAACTCAGTTATAAGCTGTAGAGTAGATCGGGAAAGATAACTAACATTTTTCTTATGAAGGAAATTATAGCGATAATTTGGGTTTTGGGGTCCTCTAACAAAAAAGTACATATTCTTGAGTATGTTTTCAAATGAAACTTTGGAGTGTATCAAAAATAATAACGTATTGTGTTTGCAATGACGACTTTTCCACTTTGGTATTTTAGGCATCTCATACCGAGTATGCCTAATGGATTGGGGTAAGATAAGAAAATATAATCGCATAAAATTAATTCTCGAATATTTTAACCAAATTTTATTTATTGCATATGTAGTACAAAGTACTTTAAAGTGTAACAGCACTATTGTTAGGTTCATCCCGCCCGTTCTAACGTGCTCTACTGTATAGCTAGCTGAAAGCTTTCTTCGATCCAGGAACCTCTTTAAGAAGTCCTTATATAATTTCTATACGTATGATGCAATAAAATAAAAAAACAAAAATGTATTAAAAATAAGCGTGTTATTCCAAGAAAAATGTGGCATCTTTTCCATTTGTCGGGGTAAGATGCATCAGGATCGACGGTAGCTGACAATGGAAACTTTAGAACCTTACTAAATCACACATTAATTTGTTTTTCGCAATTTTTAATAAATTCTATTTGAAATTTCAGTTTTAAAATTACTCTAGAAACATTTTACAACAGGAAACTTCGTTCTTACCTGGCTTTTATTCTTCACAGAGATAGAAAATGTGGTTACGGTAATCAACTATAGCTTTCCACTCTCAACATTTGCCCAATGGTCCATCATACAAACACATGACAATATCTGACGTTAACATTTGAAAATAACAAAAATTAAGCACTTTTTCCCGATTCACTCTATAGTAAACTTAGTTAAGTAAACAACAATACTGCTCGTTATTATTATGTATTACAGATTACTGTATCTGTATATCACAATATAAAAGTATTCTAAGTACAATACTTTTATATATTTAAATACTTTATATATATACTAATATACTTTTAAATATATTACTTTTTTAGACGTTTCCAATAATCCATAACAACTCAAGTCAAGAAATATAAGCTTTTAAAAGGTATACATTTATATTACTCCTTATATAAAAGTAATGTTTTAACTGAATAATATTTTATTTAATTATTTTGTATTTAAATAATAAATATTATTAGATTCAAATTTATGTTTAAGCTTATAAAAAAGCAACAGATAATAATTATTATTAACAAATACAGAATTTTATCTTATATTCTCCTTTCTATGTACAGTACGTGTGACTTCCTTGAAAGCTTTAACAGGTCTTAACACTGAGAAGATCTTCCAGCATCCTTGCAGCATCCCAGCAAATTGTGACATTATCCTTTAAAGCTGTAGTGTAACCTGAATGCTCAGGAACAGACCCTCCTTACCTTTAGAAATGAACAAATGAAAGAAAGAAATCGAGTAAGTACAGGATCTAAATGTTACAAATGCATTTACAATATGCATATAGGAGTTTACTCTTATATGAATGTGTATATGTGCAATAAGCAACTGTTAGTGTACAACTGTTAGCGCTGTGGATATCCACAACACTAACAGCTGTACAGAAGTGAATACAGGTTTACATTTCGGGTCACTAACATCAGTCTAAATTCCCGTCAGTGACCGTTGTTCAGAGTTTTGACTGTAATTAATTAAATTTAATATTGGTTTTATGCAATTTAACCATATAAATATGAAAATTTCGTATCGTTTTAGTATTTAAAACCTCGTAAAATTAGTACAACAGTATCCTCATCTCTGTCCTTATAAAAGATTTTCCTTAATTTTGCTTGCTCGTAGATAAGGAAAATTAAATTTCCTTTAAACAAAAGTTACACGAATTAACATTAAAAATATTATAAATATAGAAATTTATATCAATATTCTGTTAGTGCTATTCAAGTTATTGGAATTAGTTACATATTAAGAAAATTTATAGTAAGTTTTATAAATAACAGTTAATATTATGCAATATTTATTAGAAGAATTAACCTTCACCAAATCCCCTTTATTCTAACAAAACAGACTTTCATTATTAAAATTTATATAAAAATCATTAATAACATCAGATTAATTAAACATTAGTAAATAAATATTATTTAATTTATTTACTTTTTAGCAGAAAATTAATTTTTCGTGAAATTTTAAATAAAAATTTGTTCAATTTTTATATAAAATGTTTATTTATACAGGACATCCCTTTGACATTTTATTTATTAATTTTAAACCTAGTAGGTGAGGCAGCAAATTGCAAGGGGAAAAAACCACTGAAATACCCATTATTTTATACCTCATAATATTGAATTTTTTTACTCATAAAATAAAATATAAATTATTTTAATCTTACTCAAATTATTGTTATTCATTTTCTATTTAATTTATGGCAGGGAAAATAATAATAAACATAAAAGTTATTATATATCATTGCATATTCTAACGTGCAACTGAACACAAAATGTTTAATGAGAATGAAAAATATTTAAATTGACAAATTTCTATTAATCTCTATTTTCACTGACCAATCGTCGTTGAGACAAACTTATTTCTAACCAATCATTGTTTAAATTTTGTAAGAAACTTTATTTTATCTTACGATTTATTTTATTAATATTAATTTGTTTGCTTTTATATTTTTCAGTATTTCTCAAATGAAACAGAATGCCATCGTACGATAGTTGCACATTATGTAATTCTAGGACAAATAGGATAAATATTTTCATTCTTGGTATCGTTTGTATAGGTGTGGGCTTGAGTTTGATGTTTTTTGTGAAAAAAACGCCAAAACCATTCGCCGAATCAATATCTGATCATCCATTAAAAGTTTTAGGAATTGTTTTAGTAATAATTGGTGGTGTATTTTCTGTAATGATTTGTGTGCAATGCTGGATAATGACTGAAAATCCTGCATCATCCCTCTCTCAAACTAATGTAACAAGTGGAAGATCTCCAAATCAAACTGCAGATTGGTCTGTATCGACTTCAACAAGAACTGAACATCTAACAACTGACTCAACTAACAGATTCGGTGATTATTCAAGTAATCAACCGTATGTCCTTTCCGTTCCACCTCAGAATGTTACTTCAGTTGCTTCGATACCTAAACCAATTGATTTAGATCTTCCACCTTCTTACGAAGAAGTAATGGGTAATATAAATAGGCCTATATCTTGATTTCAAACAAATTTAGTTGAATATCTGAAAGATAAGTTTGAAAAAAAAAGAGTGCCTTAAGAAACTTTTGCGAAGTGGAAAAGATACCTTGTAATGGAAAGAAATGCTTCAAGAAACTGTTGCTGATTGGATAGACGAGTAAAATGAGGAAAATTGCATTAAAAGTTTATTGCATACCTCAAAATCTTGTTTACTGAAATGTATGAAAATCAGTCTAATGGGAAGAGAAGCCAGGAAAGCAATATTCTATTTTAATTTTTGAGACAATGTAAAAAGCTCATGGCTACTGGAAATATGACTAAAAATTCTTATTTTTGGAAATAGATGCCTTGAAAAACTCCTGACATCAATTAACTTTTCAATGGTATTTTTAATGTATGCATGAAGATATAAAACAATTGAACTTTCACATTTTTACACCTTTATTTTACAGAATTTTTGAATGTATTCGTACATTAAATTTTGAAGATTCCTTATTTCCAACAATGTTCCTTATATTACATCATCTTTATTTATTTATTATTTCGTAAATATCATCATTTAATGTTTTTTTAACACAATGTATACGCTGTTAATGATGTAAAATTTCATTAAAACTACTTTTCAAATGGTTTTTGTAAACATATATTGATGTAATATACCTTATGTGAATTATGTATATTAAAATGATATGCTATTGATTGTATGAATTGATGTGTATAATATACTCTAAACTCGATTTAACGCAAAAGTTTATATATTTTACTGTAGGGATAATCTTGTTACTGTATAGTTTCTTTTTAGCATACTGGAAGTGGAAAACTGGTTAATTGTTATAAGCGGTAATGCGTTATATACGGGTTACATTATATTTTTCGCTTAGAACACATTAAATAATAACGATAATATATTTCTTATAGTAGAATGTATAACTTTACATATTTTAACTTTAACTTTAAACAAATTCAAATAAAGTATAATTTGTTGCTTAAATTATTATTGTTCTTATATATATTATTAATAAACTTGAAATTATATTGATAAACAAATTCTTTAATATTTAATAACAGAAATTCTTATATAATATTTAATAATATATTGTGTACATTTATTAATAATTATATAAATAAATAGTTATTAATAAATATTTTACAATTCAGTTGATGTTAAAAAATATACTAGGCAATATAATTTATTAAGTTTTAAATTCTATTATTTTTATCATATTAATTATAAAATTGTATTAAATTATTTATTTAAAAAATTATATTTTATATTACAAATTACTCATTATTTGTTTCTGTTAGTAACCCTTATTCAGAGGTTGTTTAGAATTAAACACAGTAGACCCCCCCTATAACACTGTAGATAATTCCGTGTTATATGAATTTCATGTTGTACGAGTCACTTAGATTTTACAAATACGTAAGCCGTTCACAGCCCGGCACATGTATTTGTAAAATCTAAGTGACTCGTACAATATGGAATTCATATAAAACTGAATTATCAACAGTGTTATAGGGGGGTCGACTTGTACAAGGTGTAAATAAACCCTGTAAGGAATTTCCTCATTCTTTGATTAACTAATTATAATAATTACGCAAAACAAATAATTTCATTTACAATTATAAAGCAAAATAATAATATGTGAGGTTAATTCAGTAAATTGTTTTGAAATAAAATTCTCAGTAGATTAAAATCATTTACTTTAGTGATGTTTCATCATACAGAGAATGAACTGTAATACATTGACGCAGATAATTCTATTTTAAATAATATATTTTATTAATAATTTAATACTAATTATAAATTATAAAATGATTATATTTTCTTTTGTATTTGGGACAGTCGAACCTCCAATAGTGCTTATAAAATAACCTTTAAACAATGACCAATTTTTATATTCCCATTGTTTAGAAGTTTGTTTGACTGTATTTAATAAAATTTAATTGTTTTTTTAGTACAATTTAATGGTATAAATATGAAAATTTCGTATGCTTTTATTATTTAAAAACGTCTTAAATTAGAACAACTCTATAACAATATCGTTATCTCTATCCCTAGATAAGATTTTCCTTAATTTTCCTTTTTATATATCATTGCATATTCTAACGTGCAACTGAACACAAAATGTTTAATGAGAATGAAAAATATTTAAATTGACAAATTTCTATTAATCTCTATTTTCACTGACCAATCGTCGTTGAGACAAACTTATTTCTAACCAATCATTGTTTAAATTTTGTAAGAAACTTTATTTTATCTTACGATTTATTTTATTAATATTAATTTGTTTGCTTTTATATTTTTCAGTATTTCTCAAATGAAACAGAATGCCATCGTACGATAGTTGCACATTATGTAATTCTAGGACAAATAGGATAAATATTTTCATTCTTGGTATCGTTTGTATAGGTGTGGGCTTGAGTTTGATGTTTTTTGTGAAAAAAACGCCAAAACCATTCGCCGAATCAATATCTGATCATCCATTAAAAGTTTTAGGAATTGTTTTAGTAATAATTGGTGGTGTATTTTCTGTAATGATTTGTGTGCAATGCTGGATAATGACTGAAAATCCTGCATCATCCCTCTCTCAAACTAATGTAACAAGTGGAAGATCTCCAAATCAAACTGCAGATTGGTCTGTAGCGACTTCAACAAGAACTGAACATCTAACAACTGACTCAACTAACAGATTCGGTGATTATTCAAGTAATCAACCGTATGTCCTATCCGTTCCACCTCAGAATGCNCTTTTTTTATTTCGCGGTAAGTAAATTTTTTGCGAAGTTTTAAATAGAAATTTTTAAAACTTTTACATAAAATATTCTATTTTGTAGGACATAACTTTGAAATTTTATTTATTTATTTATTTTTTAAACCTAGTGCAGACGAGACAACAAATTGCCAGGAAAAAAACCACTGAAATGCCCATTATTCTATAACCTCATAATATTAAATTTTCCTGCTCATAAAATAAGGTGTAAATTATTTTCATCTTGCTGGACTGGTTATCTTTTTTTTCTCTTTAATTTATAGCAGAAAAAATAATAAATATAAAAATTCCAATATATTGCCTATATATAGTGGGAAAAGCAAATTTGTGAGGTATATTAAGAAAATAACACAAAATATTAATGAAAATTAATTTATTATTTTAATTATAACCGATTAAAACTAAGAAAGTAGATTTGAAAATATTTAAATTTAAATTGACGAATCCTTGTTGATTTCTATTTCCACTGACCAATCGTCGTTGAGATAAGCTTATTTGTAGCCAATCATTGTTTAAGTTTTATATGAAACTTTATTTTTTCTTACGATTTATTTTATACAAGGCATTGCAAAGTAAGTGTTCTTTCTGGAAATGGGTGATAGAATTCGTCAAGATAAAAAAAAAAAAAAAAAGGAAATAGAATATTTGCAAATTCGGATTAGTTACCGAAATATTCGAGGTTAAAGTTTTGCCAAACGACGTTACAATGGAGATCTGCCAACTGAAAATGAAAGGATAGATTGAAAAACAATCACAAAAAGCTTGTCATTGCGGTTATTCCCCCCTTTAAACTGACAACACTGGAATTCTAAACTAAAATGGATAACTTTGTGTCATATTACTGAAAGCTTTGTGCGAAATAAAATGGAAACTATTGTATTTTTTTCGCATTTTAAAACGTTGTTCGATTCAATAAATGTTTATGTTTAAAATGGTAGTATAAATAGTTCAAATTTGTAACTTTAACATCGTCTATTTCTGTAATAATCGAAAATTTGCAAATATGTTACATTTCATATTTTGATCATCTCGATGAATTCTATCCAGAAAGAACACTTTTTTTTTCCAACACCCTGTATTTATTAATATTAATTTTTGTTTGCTTTTATATTTTTCAGTATATCTCAAACCAAGCAAAATGCCATTGTACCATAATCGCTCATTATGTATTTTCATTATTAGTATCGTTTGTATAGGTATGGGATTGAGTTTGATGATTTTTATGAAAAAAACGGTCGAATCATCCATTAAAAGTTTTTAAGAATTGTTTTAGTAATAATTGTATTGGTGGTACCTTCTTACGAAGAAGTAATGGGTAATATAAATAAGCCTATATCTTGATTTCAAACAAATTTAGTTGAATATCCGAAAGATAAGTTTGAAAAAAAAAGAGTGCCTTAAGAAACTTTTGCGTAGTGAAAAAGATATCTTGTAATGGAAAGAAATGCTTCAAGAAACTGCTGCTGATTGTAAAATGTTTTTTGTATAATGAGAAAAACTTCGAAAGCTTCTTGCAATGAGACGACATATCTCAAAATCTTGTTTACTGAGAAGAAATGCATGAAAATGAGTCCAATGTGTAGAGATATCTGAAGAGCCTCAGATATCTCTACAGGATCCATAATATCTCAGGATGGCGTAATGACTAAGAAACAAAATTTGGCACGGTGTAAGAGGCATGGTATACTTGTATATATTTCTGTTAGTAACCCTTATTCAGAGGTTGTTTAGAATTAAACACAGTAGACCCCCCCTATAACACTGTAGATAATTCCGTGTTATATGAATTTCATGTTGTACGAGTCACTTAGATTTTACAAATACGTAAGCCGTTCACAGCCCGGCACATGTATTTGTAAAATCTAAGTGACTCGTACAATATGGAATTCATATAAAACTGAATTATCAACAGTGTTATAGGGGGGTCGACTTGTACAAGGTGTAAATAAACCCTGTAAGGAATTTCCTCATTCTTTGATTAACTAATTATAATAATTACGCAAAACAAATAATTTCATTTACAATTATAAAGCAAAATAATAATATGTGAGGTTAATTCAGTAAATTGTTTTGAATTAAAATATGGCAGGGAAAATAATAATAAACATAAAAGTTNTATCATGCTATTACATTTTAGAGATTAACCTCCAAACAACGGCAACCTCCGAACAGCGGCTACTTTTTTTTATGTGCACCTCAAGTGGCCATTGTTCGAACGTTTCACTGTATAATAAAAATTAATATTAAATTTAACATTTTCTAAATTTGTAAGATTAAATTATAGTTTTTAATAGATAAAACATGTAAATTTTTTACTTAAATAATTAAAATTTTAATTAAAATAACACTTTTAAACACGAAATCTTGTATGAGGAAGTTAAGCAAGTAATTGATTATCATCTAAAAATCATTTTAGTAAACATCCTGATAAAAAATTATGATATTTTTTATTAAGAATTTTTATTTAATATCCTCATACATAATATAAAATATACATCTCCGGTATATTATGGTAAATTTTAATAAAAATTGAGGTTATTTCTATACTTTATAAACATGTAATTGGTAACTGAACTTATAAACTTACATTTTATACTAAGAAAAAAATTCTTAATATGTACTAATTTGCATTTAAATAATAAATATAATTATATATTTCTGTCACATGTTTTAAACGTGAAAAAAACTGTAATAATATATCAAAGATACATAAAAAAAATGAGTAAGACGGAAACTGTGGGAGTGTGAACTTTAGAGTGACCATTTAACACATTCGATTAAGTAATTATAATCAGATGATTGCATTTAATAACTATAAAAATACATAATTAAATAATTAATTAATTTACAAAATCTACAAGAGTGAGAATTAAAAGAAAAAAAAATATATATATATATAATTAGCGTTTTAATTTAGAATTTCTCATGAAATTCTTAATGTTTTATATATACATATATAGTTTCTTTGATGAATTTTCAAACAAGGAACTTTTAATTGACGGATTTTGTCATTTTATCACAGTTAATAATGTAAAATAAATGTTATAATTTATTACTAAACACGTTCGGATGAATTTTGGCTTCGCGCAAATATAATTTCAGCATAAGTAGGGGGTGGCTGATCCCAACACAAATTACCACTTTCACTCGAAGTCATAGAGGTGCGGTTGACATCCTGAACGTTTCTATCGTCTAAACAATTATCTGGTCTCGTTACAACACTGTTATTATCTCTCTTATTCGATCTATAAATCCACATAGTCCTTTCGTGTCCCGAGGACCAAGTAGAAGGTAACTTTTGAGGCCTCCGGTGACATGGAATATTAAGCCAATCCTCATTAGCAAACGTTTGCCTCTTCTTAAACGTTACAACGTCGAATCCGAATATGCAAATTAAACATATAACTACTAGCATAATTGTAAAAATTATAATTGCCAAAAACATAAGTGAAAGTCCTATTATTAAATATATTAATTTATCATCACCATCTTCTTTTTTTGTGATTAACCAATACGATATTACTGCTAGTACTACAGTAATTAAGAAAGCAGTAGTCAAGAATAGAATAACTATGGCTGGTCTAGGTGAATATTCCGACATTTTAATAAAGATTTATCTGAAAGGTAAATAGTTTCTAGTGTAATTTATTTAATTAAAGAGTTATATAGAAGATAAAACGTAAAGATTGTCTTACCTGATGACGATAACAAGCGCGTAAGGCCACTGCAAATGGTAAAATGACGCAGGAAGTGTTTGAACATCCTGATCAGAGATAATTATGACGTCATGTAAGGAATTGATACCATTTAAAACGAACAAGAACGATTATATATGAAGCTCTTCCTGATCTAATATTCATTTAATTACCGATTCTTATACTTAATGAATATAAAATTAATTTTTTTCTTTATAATTTATATTTTAATTATTCAAGAAGGAATAAAGTCTAATCAAAGCTTCCACAGAAGAAAGGAGGATACCTTATAAATGATACAATGTACAAATACGTCATTTAATAGTCATACTTCCGCTCTACGAAACGTAAAACAAGCGGAGGTTGTCTTCAATATAAAAAATTTAATTCGTTTAAAGCGTAATATATTCAGAATTAAATTAATAATTATTTTAAGCGAATTTAAATATTTGAAATAATAAATTTCATTTATAATTCATAAAATTATTTGTAGGGATATTTCATAAAAATGTTATCTTTAACTCAAATTATAATTATAAAATTTAAATGTTATCTTAATGTATTTTATTCGGAAAATATTCTACATTATTATTGATAGATTTATGTAGTAAAATAATATAATTATGGGTTATATAATAAATTACTTGGAAGTTTAGACTGACGAGCAGACATACAAACGCGTAAGAAATTTATAATAAAATATTTTAAAATGCTATTAATTTCTTAAATGTTATTATTATTATTATTATATAAAAATATTTTGTTTTATTTTTTCAGTATTATTTGTTGATATTGATATTTGTCAAACATGTTATTTAGGAGGAAATGAAATAATATATGAAAAATGCTCTTAACATATGTTACGCGTGTGTTACGAATAATCGTAACACAACAGACACCGAATATGATTTGATGTAATTTATATAAAAGGAAATGTTTAACAAAACACATATATTATTTAAGCTTTTCCTTGTCGTTCACGTTATTTGTATGTACATATAGACGTAACTACACAATTTATGAACACATGTAGACTATACAGTATATTATAAACTATACCAGTATACATTAGCGTAACTAGAACCGTAACTAGGAGGCTCCAATTAGAACGTATAAACCTACATTAACCCCTGTACCACTGTGATTAAAGAGTAAACTCCTAGCTATTGTATAGGCAGTGTGACGAGTTATCCTATGGGAAACAATGGGAAATTACCTGGGCCCCAAACCAATCTTTCATAAGAAAATATTTCTCCAAAAAGCTTTTTTCAAAGAAAAATGTCTGAAGTCAACACTGTACAGTACAGTACTTGTGACCTCTTATTAAAATTTTCCTGAGCCCAATTAAATGCCACTAGATATATTTATTGCATTCGAATCTTTTACCTTTATTTATTTGATTTTATCTTCATTTATTTATTTTCAAAGGACAGTACCGCTGGGATCCCCTGGTTACGCTAGTGACTATACATGCACAGTATATAAGCTTACATTAATTGTAAATTCCGGTTTTAAAAGCCTCTCTGAGATAAAATGTATGAATATATTGTAAATAAGGAAAGAGAGACGTATATTTATATATAGTTTATATATAAATAGTTAAACCTCAATTAAGAGCAATTACTTGTTCGTCTCTGATGATAGTAAAAAAGATTAAAAATTAAACGAATTATTAGTATGTAAGTTCTTAATTCTTACATAAAATGAAAATAAATAAACAAATATTCTATGTAACTAGGAATTAGTTTTAGTGTTAAATTTCCGGATGTGAATAATAGATTGCTGGCGTAGATTACTGATAAAAATCACCAGTTAAATGTTTTAAACTAGATTTATGTACTGTACAATACATTAAACATAAATTTTTATTATAAAAAACAAGTATTGTGTATTGAAACTGCAGAAAATAAAGTGTCAAAAGATGCCTTTTATTCCATTTTTGACTCTTTGCATCCTGTAGTTACATATAATTAATTACAAATGCATCCTATAGGATAATCACTTTATCTAATTACGAAAAAATAAGAAAATTTAATTAATTAATTATTTATTAAGAAAATTATTATTAATAATATGAACACATTGCATTAATCATATTTATTATAGGATAAAGTGAAATATTAACACAATACAGAAGTAATGATTCATTCCTGTATTGTGCTAAGTACAGAAATACACGCTAAATATGTCATTATATTCCTATATTTTATTTTATTATAGGAATTTTTGATATTGAGAGCGGATATTTTGTGTGAATTTCTAATTTACCAACGAGCTACAAAGGCTAAACATCACCCTTGCTAAGGAAATCCTCCCTCACTTCCTACAAATTTATGTTATCTAAAGACATCTGGAAACGATCAACAAGAAAGGGAGAGTAGAGTATTTACTGTAGTAATATTTTACCTTAACTTATATACAGTCAAACCTCTAAACACTGATTGGAACATAAATGATGGCCACGGTTCGGAGGTTATTTATGTATGCACACCAAAGAGAAACATTTCTGAAAAGATGACTATATCATTCATAAATAATAATTAATGAAAAGAAATTAATTAAATATTCTAAAGTAATAATTTTATACATATAAAAACTGTTAATTTATGCATAAAACTAATAATGATTATTATAACCAGGACCTTTCAAATATCAAGATGCCCGAATCATTTACCTTTCTGAGGATCACTGTATATTAAAAAGTCATCAATAAATAAATTCTCGGAGCTACTTTTAAATTATTTATTAAAAAAATAAAATATTTTATTATCATTTTTCTTTATAAAAAGGAAGAGCAATCAGATAAAATTTTACTGCACGAATTTAACGTGAAGTTTCCTTGTTGCTACTATGAAGTTCTGGCTGCTTCTTCCTTCAAAGATTCTTCAATCATTATGATACAATTAAACAATGTAATTTTAAAAGAAATACAGTATTAGCTATTTCAATATGTATTTCATAAGAATCTTGCCTAATAATCTATACAATATGTGAAGGCTATTGAGAAAAGGACAATTTTCGAAATAACCATGAATACATTTTTCAGACAACATTTATAATTATTTTTTAATGTAAATATTGAAAATAAACATCAAACTTACCTTAAAACAGCTAAATAATTTACCGTATTTAGGTATGGAAATGTGGAATAAGGCAACACAACAAATGGGCGATCTGCCAAAGCGAGTGACTTCCGGGAAGATTTTCTATTTATGTGTTAGACAGGTAAAATGAATCCGGAAAATTCCGTGTGACTAGTAAATTGGTGAGGTCCGAACCCATTATCAATGTTCAATGGTTTTTAAGTATGAGTGAGACCCTTTCTTGATTAATTGTACATATATGAAATAACTGCGAGTAAACAAATTTGATTGATTCGTCAGTTACATTACCTGACCTTCAATGAGGTTGGTAAAAATGATTAAAAATGAAGAACGGTGTGTCAACCCATAAAGCTTAAATGATAAATTATGGGGTATGAATCGAGTCGAAACCGGATCCTACTCTGGAGAAGACGAGATTGAATCCGGGCTAGCAAACTTATGAAATTTTTAGGAATTTGTCTTTCCCGGATTCGTTGAGCCTGGCCTGCAACAGCCTGCAAAAAAGGCCATCTTAGTGTCTCTGGGACGAAAAAGAGTAAAATAACAGAGAGGTTGCGGCTGAAGTTTTCGTGAACGTCGAACGTCGAGCCACGAAGCGCCACTTACAAGATAGCGGCGCTCGACGTTCGATGTTCACGTTTGAGAGATGAAAACTTCGGCCGCAACCTCGCTAATATCTTTCTATATTATCTAGGGATTAACTTGTCTTTTGTAACAGCTTCCTCAATCACCTTTCTCCAACTTTTTCTAATTCTTCCTCCCTATCACTTTCCAATTACGGTACTTACCTTTCATAAAGGTATAAAAATAAGGAGTAGTTACACTCTGTGATATTAGTGCTGATTATTTAACAGTGCACATGTACGAAGTTTCCATATTGTATCTGTGCGTTGTTGACATTTGCATCGTAGAACAAGCTGTGTAAGTGAGAATTTTTTAAAATAATTATTCTGCTAGGAGACAATATTAAATAATTTATCTATGATAATGCAAAAATATTTACAGAAATCAACTCAAAGAAGTCGTTTATTTTATAAAATATGTAACATATCTTTCATTATTTTTTTAAAAAATAGTAGATATAGTTTTTTCTGAGGCAAAAGATGTGTTCAGGAAGATCAACATATTACTGTCAAAAAGAAAAATCGTCATATGTATACTGTATATGCATTGTTTATATCCAGAAGTTATAAAATAAATTTCTCTATTCCGGAATCTCTAGAAGAGGAGATGAATGAAGATACGGCTGTGGAAATTAGTAAGTAGTTTATCTAGAATATATGGAAGTGGATCAGGAAAAGAAAAGAATCTTCAAATTTTTATACTTTTCAACTTCCTGTAATGCTTCGTAACGTTATCGCACATACTATATCCCAAAATTACGTAACGCAAATCCTCGATCGTATCCCCTTATGTCTAATTGTACTAAGGGATAATACGTAGCACAAGATGCCGAACGTTATATTATTTTATTAGTTGCATATATAGGAGATTTACAGCTCCTATAGATGGCACAGTTGTGTAAAAGTAATGGCGTCGCGGGAATGATCTTATTCATGGAAGCATATAGAAGTTTATCGACTTTAACGTTTTCACGTCGCTCAGT